TTTTGTCAGTAGTTTTGGTAAGTGAACAAAATAGGAAGTCTTTTTGAAACTTGTTTGCTCATAATGACCCAGCAGGTAGTCCATCCTTGGCAACATTTGTGACCAATAGGGAGTTCATGATGGTCCTAACCCGTGTGTGTCTGTGTTTAGCATTCAAGCAGGGACAGGCAAAAAGGGTGGCCAAATTGCATAAAGGTGTTGGATGCCGGGCCATTATAGCGACAACAAAAGGACCTGAGCCTGAAGGCAAAGCTCTCAATTTAGAAGTCGATTTACTGTCCAACCTTTAGCCATAGTCGAAAGTTTGCGAAGTGACTGGAATGATGAGATTCAGGATAAAAGCTGTTGAATTGAATTTATCCTGCAGGGTTGGAATCTGTGCTACCCCTCAGAGACAGGGTGAGGATCTTTGATATGACAAAAGTTGATGGACACTTTTTTGTGGAGGCTTTTTCTGGGCACAAACAGCAGTGTGCAGACCCCATGTAACCCACATTATACTTTATAGGGCTTATATTTTAGCACGTGGTAAAATGTCCTGAGATCACAAAGCAGACAGTGGTTTGATGAACTGACAATACATAAAGTGGATGGAGTTCTCAGGTTAAAACTATATCCACCAAGCACACCATCACTGTATGCCTGGCCATCTGCTTATTGCAGGCATTTTGCTGTAATGACTCTTCAGTCTCCTGAGCTGCGACCTCTGAAATGGTGAGCAATCAAAGCACATTCAGTTCTGCTACAGTCATTTGGCCACTCTCAAAAAGCTATCAGTGGGTGCAGCTGTAAACATTTTGCTCCTCAGCACTCCTGAGACATGCAGTCAAAGAGGATAGCAGCTATCAGTCTCTTCCACATAGGAAGCCTGTGAATACACTCTGCAAGGCGAATGCAGTGGAGTGGGGGAAAATACACTGAATAGTCATTGGAGCTGAATTTGGTGAAAAGAAAACTCATTATTCAAAAGAAAGAAGAGTGTGCCGAAGGCTGTGCTCCAGAATTCCCCTCAGTCTCAGTTGTTGATGAGCAACACACCCATGCAATTTATATGTGTATAAGCTAGATGAGCAAGTCAAAAGCTGTTTGTGTTCCTTTTTAAAGGGTGCACAAATACACAAAAAGAGGAATCCTTTCAAGTCGATTTGTATTGAATGAGCTTTTGAGTCTTTATCTGTTATTTCGGGGACACCTATTTATATTCAGCTGGTGTGTAAACTAAACCCTTTCTCACACTGTCGGCTGTCTGTATATCTCCTTGGCAAAGGGAATACTTGGATTGAATTCACTGCAATAACTGCAATACATACAGTACACGACTTCCTGTCCCCTGTGCAAAAGCAATATTATGTAATTAGATAACATCGCCCCCTTGTGGACTATTGTTTGGTTTTCTCTGTAGAAAATGGCCTGAAATAGTTATAATTTCCATAGATATTAAAAATACTAAGTATGCTTGTTTAAAATGCTTTAGGATAATTCATAAACAACAATTATTATTAATTATTATAAAATAAATTGACTGAGAGCCCTTTAGTCAAATGGCTATTTTTGTAAGATGACATGAAATGTGAGAAGCTATCAGCAAACATGCTCACACACAAGGAATAAAAACTGGTACAAAAAAAGAAAAAACCTTGCACTTTCTGTAGACTGAAAATAAAGCTTGCAGTTAGGTCGTTAGGTCAGCTTGTAATTTTTAACAAACCCAAAGGGGCTGACAAATGATGTCAACTCAGCCAGCAGAGATTTATTTAGATCTGCAGCTCCTCAGATGCTCACCAGCAGCTGTTGTGAACGTGTGTCAGCGCATGCGTGTCTTCACTTTCCCATTCTTCTGATCGTGCAACTTGGTCTGGTAAGCCAACAACTCTGTTTATTGCTTTGAATAGATTGACCTCCTTTGCTTTTAAACAAAAATAAGGAGCTAGAATATATTTCAAAGTAAAAGCCTATAAATAGCAAATGGACTGAATGCCTGCCCCAGATTGCCTGTTTTATATTGTAGGCCTAGAAACATTTTGTGTGTGTATGGACTTCCACGGCACTTGTTTGGGGAAATTTGGCCTATTTGAAGCCAGAGCAGTGGCACTTAGCCACATTAGTATGGCGTTTTGAAGGCTAATATACCTGCAGGATTCTTACTTGTTGAGCTTGTTTCTTCATGGTGGACAGCACTTACTGTAAGTCACTTTGGATAAAAGCTTCAGCTAAATGAAATGTAGAGTAAAGTAAAAACTGTGTTATTATTATTAATGTACTTGTTATTATTGAATGGAGATAGTATGATATCTCTCAAAGTTATAGTTGTCTATTGCAGTCCAGGTCTAGTCATTCTATACGTGGATTTAATTAATCTCCTCAGGAAATCACAGTCACAATGACGCTCCAGTGGACGGCCGTGGCTTTCTTCCTCTATGCAGAGATAGCATTGAACCTCATCTTGTGTATACCCTTCATATCAGCACGCAGGTACTGCAAAACAAACAAAAACCCAAAATATAAATCAAAAGTTCATTCAGCAAATCATGCCTAGCTTTCGGTGCAGAGGATGATTGTCTGAATAAATAAGACATTATAAAAGGGTCCTTTGCAAGAGTCGATTTAAAAAAAGAAAAAGACACTTCACACAAACCACCAGCAGAGTGCATGCATGTCCTTTCTGGGAAGATCCATTATGTTTCACTCACATGTCCTTTTTACTTATTTTGCAGATGGCGTTCTGTTTTCAGCTGGAGAATATGGAACTGGTTAACTCCATATTGGAACAAATGCTTTTTTACCATGATCATGGTTCTTATTGTTCTTTTCATTGGTAAGTGCCTTGCTGTGAGTGACGGACAGTGAATGACACTGAGTGGACTGACAGCATGTTGTCAGCATCATCATGCTTCTGTCCCCCTGCCCACTCAGACGCTGTCCGGGAGGTGCAGAAGTACTCAGGTGCTGAGCCCATGCACGATGTCAAGATTAACCCAAATTTGTTCGACAACGTCCACATGAAGCTGTTCAGAGCGCAGAGGAACCTCTACATATCTGGCTTCTCTCTCTTCCTCTGGCTGTTAGTGTCATTATCTTATACATGTATTAACAGAATGTGTTTGGGACCTACTGTCCACTTCTCTTTCTGATACCTTGTCTTGCCCTGCCTTTTTTTCTGTCCTTCATCACAGTATCATGCGCAGGACTGTCACCTTGCTGAACCAGGTTGCTGTCACCGTGGAGAACAGTGCAGGTCTTCAGGCACAGATGGACAGTGCTGTCAAAGCAGCAAAGCAGCATCAGGATGACAACCTGAAGCTTAAGCAAGTGAGAATTAATCTGAGTCTGATGACAGAACTAAAACTTGTTATAGTTTTAAAGCGTGTTACTTTCATTCTATTCCAGAAATGTGTCATATCTATTGCAGGGTACCTTCAATGTAACCTAAATGTGCATTATTGACTCATGTCCACCTTTTAAAAATGTGTAGGCATTAATTCATACAGTATTTTTCATAGAGAACTATTTCTGTGATTTGTAATTTGGAGCTCTGTGGTCTTCTGTTGGTAATTAAAGATAATTATCTGTTTTCTCAGGCTCTCCTAAATGAGGAAAAAGCCATGTCAGCAAAAAACCAGGTACTGAAGCTGGACAGTGAGAAGCTGGCAGATCAAGTGAAGACTTCTGAGGAAGGTAAGTAAGCATCACCTCTTTTATACTGTATAGTATGATCATGAGTGATACTTGAGTGTACAAAACCAAATAACTCTTCTTATAGTAAGGATTATGCACACTATGACACTTTTAAACATTCATAGATTCTGGATCATCACTGATCTTACATAAGCTGTAGTATTATAAAAGAAGCCCATTCTAGGGGCATTGGAGATATACAGAGCATTTCATAGATATAGTGCTTTTTGTGTGTGTAGCTGTGCGTAAATCTTATGCTGAAGTGGAGGCCATGAAGAGGCAGGCTAAAGGTCTGGCACAAGAGTATGACCGACTGTTGACTGAACACCATCAACTCCAGGTAAAAAAGTCACACACAGCTCTACTTCATGTGTGCATGTAGATAAAAAAGCTAACTGTATATTAACTCCCGTAATACTGGAAGCATTCTGTTTTTTAATCCTCTGCTTGATCCACAGAATGTCAAGAGTGGAGATAAAAAGGATCAGTAACCACATGAACACAGAGACTATTGTTGTCAGGTTTCTCCTCTGTACAGGGATACCTTTTCTTCTCATCAAATTAAAACTGTGTGTTATACTGTATGCAGAGTGTTTGTTTAAATATGTTTTTGTTTCTTTGCATGTAACTAAGAATTAGAAGTGTACAAATTAGTTTAAATGTTGTCTCAGGGACCCATGCTAACGTTGGATTATGACTGAAACAGTTAACATCCAAGAAATACATTATGCTATGCTTAACTTTGTGTCACTGCAGAGAGATCGTGAACCGGTTTATGAATTGCTATGCATTCTGAAATGTGTAAAGGGAGGAGAGCACTCAACTTGTTTTAAAAGAGGTTCAAATGTTTTGAATAAAGTGCCTTTGAATATTACTGAGCATTTTGGAATGGTAGATCTATCTTCAAGCCATAATACCTTTTATATACTAATTACATTTAAAATAAAGATTGCTGTTCTGGCTTCTCTTGACATTTTGTAGTTTGTTGACAATTTGGTCCTGTATATGACACACAAATAAACACATAAAACCCGCAACAATTGTCCTGCGTCTTGTCATGCTGAGATCAATTATGACATTACTTGTTTCTTTTTTTAAAGAGGCATATAGCACATTGACACCAACAAGGATTACATGTAAGAGAGAGGGCTCAGGGCAGCTGTTTCTGTGCTGCTCTTGCTCTGATCTGCTTATTGAGTCTATTTGTTCACAGAAAATATTGTCTTAGCCTGGGTGTAGCAATATCAGCAGCTGTAAAAGTCTACAAATCTGTTCAATAACATATATCTTCTGAGCTAAAAGCAAAGCCACAAGTCACATGACAGCGTTTAACCATCTTATTCAGGCACCATAATACATCATGAATCCAAAAATCTAAGTTATCAAGTTTAATCAAAAAAACGAGGACCAACATAAAAATACAGCACAATTACATTCTTAAGATGACTCATTGTCTAATAAATCCTGTACAAATATATACTCTGTGTGCTATGAAAAGAGTGTTTTCCTCTGTTCATCACAAGCGAGTCTCTCGGTCAGGAATGCAGTCCGAGTCCGGTATAAACTGCTCACAGTGTTTGGAGCTGTTCTCCTCTTTTCTTAAAGACTCCAACTCTGCACTGCCATTGGTCAGAGCATGTTTCTCCTCCATCTTAATGTGTCTTTTAAGTAGAGCAAAGCCTGGATAACATAGGAAGAAGGAGGCTGTCCGTAAGCCCAGAGTCAGGCCCAGGTACAGTGTCCTGCAGAAAAAAGGAAGCCATACAGTAAGGGGACAATCAGCAATAAGCAAAATATGGGTTAAACTATTATTTTTGAATCACTAGTGGTAAGGGTATTAACAATAGCAACAATAACACCTTATATTTAATCTATCTAATACTTTTTAAATAAGCATTGCAGCCTACCAGGACAGCTGCCTTGGTCATAGATGTTTTGTCTTGTTTGAAAGTGATCACTGTACAAGATATTCGATTGGATATTCCGTAAAGCGTTTAAATAAAGTTCTACTAATCAATTCACCTGTAAGCTGAGGTGTTATATATTCTGCACGCTCCTCTTCCTCCACACATCTTATTCCCCCATTTGAGGCAGGTTGTGTCGATTATGGCTCCAAAGTATATCGGGGCAGGTATTCCAGCTGTTTTGAAATCCAAAATATGTTGTTACTTCAAAAAAAGAACACATAAAGGGTTGCTTCGAAGTGAGATATCATTTGTGACATTATAAAATGACCAAACATACTTATTGTATTGGTTATATTAAGGGTTAATATAAAGCTTTTTAATGGAAAATATGTGCCTAAAACACTTGGTGACAGAAAATGATCTTTGAAATATTTTTTTTCTCCATACACACACATTAGTTCATCTGCTTCTGAATGTCAGCTCTTAGGAGATTTCTGTTTGTTTGACATTTGCACAGACAGTAATGTACAGAATACCAAAAAGCTTCTCACCGAAGGTACGAGTAGCCAACGAGTGGATTCCAAGAGCAAAGCATTTCAGCTCAGGCCTAATACACCTATAGAGACAATAATGAGGCGGTTAAAAGGAAACTCAACTTGTATAACTTATAACACTTCAATAAGAACAATGAGGTACACTTTTTGTACGAGAAGATTTTATTTGTGAAATATCTCCATTGAAGTTTCAATCAATTGGAGATGTAAGAAAGACAAGATGAGGTGTTGCTCCAACGTATTGCTGTATGTGGATTGAGTCCAATGATTCCACAAGGGGTTTGAAGACGAACCTGACGAGCAGCATGAAGCCTGGTGTTCCTCCCAGAGAGATGATGAAGGAGCTGAGGACTGACAGGGCCAGGAAGTAAGGAAAGACTTTGTCGCAGCTGTCACTGCGTGGACACTGTCCCAGAGAGGCCGTCAGGTTGACTTGTTGGGTGTCAGGCAGTGCTACACAACTGCAATTCGCAAACACCTAAACAAGAAAACTTAATGAATGATAGATGACACACTTTCAAGGGAAAAGTAGCGCAAATACATCTGAAATGTCATTTGTTAATCTGTAGGCATCAGGGGAAATGGGTATGAGATGAATAAAATGTTGCAATTAAGCCAAAATATTGAGCTCAATTTGTTAATATATTATACTGGGAAATCTGGATGTGACATGAAATCAGTGGTGGATGTCCAACCGTATATTTGCCGGAGCCAGTGGATGAGGAGCATCCGGCCAAACAAGGGGACACGTAGGTGATCCCGTTCTCTCCGCACACTGGATCCCAATCCCTTCTGGAGCACAAGCAGCCCGAATTACATTCAGAGAAGAGAGACTGTTCCTGATAAGACAAGCCTTCGACTCTGCATGGGACAACATGAAGAACATGCACATATTATTGACAGCTCATGTGAAAAATTCATCAAATATGAAGCTACAACCATTAATGTGCAAGGAGTATGAAAATAAAGGCAAAGAAAGGGAACAAAACACGAAAGAGAGTTTTGGCTGTACTGAATAATTTTAGAATTTCCCCAAACTCAAACTCACTGTAGCTCCTTCCTCTGATGTTACATATTCCACTAAGACATGAGGAAGTGTATCCAGACTTCACATACCCGGTATATGAGACTGTGACGCCTGCCACCTTGGAGTTCTCACAGCCCATGGCGAAGAAGAAGAGCGACAGGAAGAAGCCCAGCAGGGAGGTTCCAAAGGCAAATTTAGCTGCTCCCAGGATACCCAGCTTGTACTTCTTCATGACAACCCCTCCAGAGAACATCCCAAGGGCCACAGCCGGGATGTTGATCATGCCTACACAAACCACAGAATATAATAGATTCTTAAAGGAACAGAGGAGGAGGATATAACATGAACTAGCAGTACCAGGCAGCAACAATGCTCCCTAAAAGAAATCAAAGTCAGAGCACTTATTCATAGTAGTAGTCTCATTCATATTTAATGCAAAGTGTATTGAAGTCATGGCATGAAACATAAAAATGACTTTTGATGTTAAAGAAAAAAAGAAATGCATTTCTACTCGTCTAACTTTACTTATGCTGTTATGTGGGTTGACTAATTAATGAGTCTTATTAAGAAAAAAGTGCTTTTTAAAATAAATGCCAATAAACAGAAGTACACAATGTCCAATGGTTTCATTAAACCTGGCTGTCATTTAGAAGCTGCAGTGTTTACTTGAGAGGGATGTGGGAGTCAGCACATAAAAAATTCATCAAACACTGGCTCATGAAACCATTATGATGATCATACAGCTCTCATTTCTTTGCATTCCTTAAATACTTGTCTTACAGTGAAGCAACACAGGCTCATCTACCAAGATGAAATGACCAGACAGACAGACACAACATATTGTACAGTCTGCTTACCCATGAGGAAATTGGCTTTTGATGCTGACTGGCCGTAGTGTTGCTCGATGTATTTGGGTTTGTAGGTGACCATCCCGATGAGAGAGTTGAACTGAATGATGGTGACGCATAAAAAAGTGACGTACACAGGATTTCCAAGGAGGCTCTTCAATGTGGGCACAAATTCTGTGTGGGGAAGTTAATGGAAACCACTTAAAAATAGGCTTTGATTTACTTACAGCTAAGATTTTTGATGCTTTTCTAAACCTTTTAATAATTTACAGATTACAAATATGTTGAAAATAACAGACCTTAAAGGAGACCTATCATGCTATATTTGAATAATATATTGTAGGGCCATACCTATATAAGGTATATTTATACGTTTTTATTTTTTCAAAATACCAAACAGATCATGCATTTTAGCCATGCCTCATTTTGCTCTATTTTGCTCTCCTCCACCCCTGTCTTTGCATGCGCTGCAGCTGACCACGCCCCCCTGCAAAGGAGGGGGCCGAGTTACGAGCGCTATGTTACCATGCTGTTACCATGCTGTTACCATGCCACGGCAACCTCTCATTCCCCTGATTGGTGGAGAGTTGCCCATATAGGCGGAGCTCCTCGTTTCTGACGTCAGAGATATTTAAAATCTGGATCAGTCTGTATCAGATCCGTTGCAGCCCCGTTTTAGAGATTTGTGGGTATGGAAGGAAAGAGAGAGGGTTGTGTTGTCTGACACTTGGTGAGTTCCCTGACACACCGGGGACACATATTCATGTATAAAAGACGTACAAAAGTGCATTTTGCATGATAGGTCCCCTTTAAGTATATGTGAATAGTATTTTGTTAATGGATATAAGGAAAATATATATAAAATATATATAAAATTCATAAAAAATCAGCTTGCATAGTCAAAAGAGGGACTCGTGATAGCACTTTTTTTGACAATCTTTAAGATTTACCAGACCACATACAGATTATGATGCCACTACTCACATTCAAAATGTACATCATGTTAACTTGGTGTGACTATAATCATACCTTTGGCCATCTGGTGTAGATTAGCCGGCTCCTCAGGTCTGAACTTGTGCTCCATGGTTGGGGAATCTTTGATAAACCTGGTTTGCTCGGGGGTGCAGCTGCTATCGTGTTTATCCACGGGCATGGGCAGCGATTTAGGCAGGAACCAGAACGGAACTGCAGACATGAGGGTGATGGTCCCAGCGATAAGGTAGCCCAGCCACCATGCACCCACCCAGCGGGCATCACCAGGGGTAATGGTTAGCGTCTCTGAAAAGATAAGACTCCTGTTAGCACATATGTCATCATGAAATGTAGTTTGCTTTATGCGTGTCAGCCGCACTCCTGCCTGCCTACTCCTTTTTAATACTTCAGGACTGAAATGGAAATATGCCATGGGACTTTATTGCGACATCTTGATGAATTTTAGTCCTGTTTTATTATTATTATTTTACATATATTATATATTTAAAAAGCAGAATGTATACATTTTTAAAGTGCCTTACATACACTTATAATGTTCAAAGTCAACTGTTACGGCTGTATGTATTCCCTGTTTCTTTTCCCCGTTGGTTCCTCTACCCAGGTGTGCTGCATTGCTGTAACGAGGTTCAGACGAGGTGCACCTGGAGAAGGAAGTGCTTAAAAGCTCCAGTGCAGCAGCAGAAAAGAGAAGCCTCTGGGGTGGGGACTGCTGTGTCTCTGCTTCTCATCCTAGGAGAAACATTTGATGTGTTGTCTATAATAAATCCTATGGATTCGATGATTTTAAAAGGTGTCTTTCGTGTTATATTTGGGTCAGTGGTGGAATTTTGTTAGCTCCATAGGGCCATTTTTGTGGGGCGTAACATCAACATTTCTAAACATGAGGTGATGTTACCATGACTTTAACTGCCTTTTTTTCATTGTGTGTATGTATTTGTTATTAACTGTAAATGTATTGTATGTATGAGTTGATTTGGAACAAAAAGCTTTTCCGTTTTGGGGATTAATAAAGATTTCTGATCTAATTGTGTTTACAACAAATTTAATGCGTTTCCCAGTCAGAATTAACTGTATGACAGGATTTACTCTGCTCTAAATAATTTCCACTTGGCAGGTGTGTTGTGTCTGGCACAGCTCTAGCATCCCCATGTACAGCAACCTATTTCTCAATCCAATTCTTAACAGAGAAGTGTGAGTGCATTTCTGCAGCGTGAACAAATGATAATCCACAACAACAGTTTTCAAATCTTAACATTGTCATTGAATCAGTCATGGTTATCAGTCAGATTACTTACCCAAGTCAACATAGCCAATGTCAACGTAGATCTTGGCACACAGAGACCCCAGCAGATACCCAAAGACAGGACCGATAATTGATATGGTTTGGACACATCCTAGAATATACAACAAAGAAATGTATTTAAATGTATCCACATCTAGCACCTACTGCTTTTAGTCTTCTTGTTTACTTAGTTGTGTTTTCTGTATTTGATATGTCTGTGTTATGTGTAAGAATGTGTAACATTGCTGCCTTCTTGGCCAGCTCAGCATTGTAAATGAGATTTTGTCTCAATGTTTTCATCTGGTTAAATAAAGGTTAAATAAAAAAAATCCCAATTCATCCTTAGTACATCCGATATAGCTGCTGAAATAGCCTAAAATGTAAAAAGCAATTGTTTCTTGGTTGCCTGAACATAAAAACCTCTTTTCTTATAATACAAATGTAATGGAAATCCACTTATTGAAGGAACGGCAATGATAATGAAGTGACCTTTATTAATGATACCACTTGAAGCTACTAACATAGCAAATGAGTAAGGTGCATTACCAATATAGAGGGCAGCATTCTCTGTTTGTGCGTAATCATCAATATAGGAGATTCCCAAAGGCTGTACTGGAGTCTCTCCAATTCCCCGCAGGATATTTCCCAGAAGCACATAAATCCACATTGAAACACTGGACTCTCGCTCACAGCCTGCAGTTCAAAAAGACATTTGAAGTGGATTAAGTATTGAGAAACCCTCTTGAAAATGGTCAAAAACTGACAATTAATTGAATCTTCTATATTACTTCGTTTTTTTTCTAATTCATATTATCAACCATGATGAGAAATCTGGTTTTGGTGCATCATATCTCAATGACAAAACTCTAGGAGAGTCAGAGTAAAGTACAAAGATAGAATTTGCCAATATTCCCAAATTGTGAATGGACACATTTTTGTGTTTTTTCTTTTTTTTACTAAGCAGCCTAATCTTACCTCTAGAGTTCAGTAACGAGGGACTGTCACCTGCCCTGGTGGACTCAGGTGAGCTTGCTGGACATGGAGAGAGGTTATTGGTTGAATTCACTGACCATCTAACTGATGTTTCGATCTTATAGCTGCGTAAAAAATACCAATGTGACTGTTAACAAGGGAAGGGAGAAAGCATCAGGTATCGTTAGATACTTACATAGTTAAGCACAAATGCAAACATCATTTTTTAAAATGCATTACAGTCAATACATTGGCTTTGTGATGCTTGAATACTTAAATGAAATAAATACTGTACATGGGAGAAGTTTGTGAGCTACAATGCATGCATACAGATTTTATATTTATCTTACCGGCCAATGAGGAAATGGGGCATGGCGATCAAGAAGGTCCCAAAGGACATCAACACACAACCAATTGCTATGATCTTGGGCCGGTGGAGTTTGGCACCAAAATAACTCACAAAGGCAATGACCAACAAATTCCCTACAAGGTTGAGATGATCAGTAAAGAAGACAGAGGTGAGTCAATGTTGAAAAAATGTATACTAGTATAGTATTCTTCAGAGAGAAAATACAGAATAAATTATCTAAATGATACAAGTTGATGATAAAAACCTCTTGTGAACACTGTGTATTGTTCTGAATTAAGCTGCCGAACCGCATGAACGCTATCTTCAAGAGATTTCAAAACAAGGGATATTCATTTATATTTATTTAGACAACCATACCAGACATTCACCTTGATTTAACCAAGGGTATATTAGTAAACAGTCCGCAGCTAATTATACCTCCAAGGTGGGTACATTAATGCTTTTTTGTGCGTCTACATACCACTGCTAAATGGGTGTCTATAATGTACAGTATCAGTACCAGACATACCAGAGAACTGTATAGGTTTTGATCAAAGCCAGTGTGAATAAACGTATTTATCTAGAGCATAAAAAGGCAGTATTTGAAGTCTAGTCCCCAGTCTGTTGTGCATTTGAACCAACCATCACAAAATTCCTCCATTTCCAGCCTACAGTAAATGTTCTACAATTCAAAGGGTTTCTGGCTCATTAAGAGTCAACTAGGTACACAACCATTGTGTGTATTCAAAGCTCAAGGGGCGTTGTGCGGATGCGTTAGTGCTCTCAGGCATGCAAGTACGTATTCTTGGTTTATTTGCATTAGCATCTTAATGCTCCAAAACTATTTAGCCAGTAAATAGAGAGACACATTTGCAATAACGAATTGAGATACTCACCTACTTCAAAGCTCCCGTCTATGATTCCGATCAGATAACTGGGGATGTCAAATCTTCTTTCTAGTTGTGTAATTGTGCTCTTCATGTAGCTGCCAGATAAAGCCTTGGCAAAGTAAGCGAAGGACAAGGAAGCAAGGAACCTCTAGAGAGATACAGAAAGAGGAAACACAACAATGTGTCAAACACTGTGCCCCTGAATGACTTATGACTACATTTCAATTTGAAATCGTATGTTTACCTGTTATATTAAATTATTTTAAACCCTGTAGCCTAAACATCTCAGCGCAACAGTGGAAAGGAAAACAAAAAAAGGAAGGTGAACTGAAAAGAGAATATAAAGACATGAAAAAACAATGAAGGGATAGAACGTATATCTCCAAAAAAAAAATGGAACAGTATGTTTTTAACAGTTGATTACCCTGAACTTTGAGTATAATTCAACTGAAAAACCAATACAAATAAATAAAAATTATACATTTATATCTACATTTAAATAAATAATATCAAAATAATAAATACCAATAAAGATCAACAAATATTTTGGAGCGCTCTTCCACAACCTACTAAACATATATAAATATGATAACTAATGTCACTCACAACCTGTCATGTTTAATTATACTGCTACACACAGTACTCTTATTTTGGTAACCCCTTGTATTATCCGGAAACCGGAGGTAGCGAGCTAAGAGGTGACGAGGTTAGTAAAAGTTTACTGTACGCTAAAGACCGGAGCATGGAGGACCGGAGAATAAAGACATGGCAACTAAAGCTTCCCTTGTAACATGTTATATGGATTTATTAAACAGACTGCAAGTCCCAAGTTACACAACCTGGCCGAGAGGGCTTTTAGGGAGGGGCGAAAGCGCACGTGCGGGCAGGATGTATTACGCAAGACAAATTGAGAGCATCATTGCGAAAGGGAATACAGCAAAAATAATCGTTTTATTTCGATTACGCTGTTTCCGTAATTGTTGCAAGCCAAAATCGTAATCGAGATTAAAATACGATTAATTGCACAGCCCTAATGTTGGATGTGAATGAGTAAAGGGAAAGCTGGCTGTTAAAGCTTGGGCCAGAGAGTGTATTAACTTAGCTAAGGACACTGACAGTCAGTAACAAAGGGAGGATTAGAGAAGCCAACCCCACTAGGACACAGATTCATCCACTGCACTATGAGCCGACAGCCCGACTGACATGAAGCATAATTGGAAACAGGTGAGAGGAAACCTAGCCTGCACTCTCAGGGATGAAAATAGCCTGAGCTCTAAGGAGACGCACAACCCTACAAACCACCTTTCTTAGTTAACTGAATGTCCTTTAGAGGCAACTATGAATTCACACATCACATCGTTTTGACATGGTGTTGTTATATTACAATTCACAGATGAATTTCAAGACATCAACATTGATGAGCATTTATGGTCAGGTAGTCACACACAAACCGGTTTGGTGCCTTTCACAAAACACTGAAAACAGATGTGTTTCCAGGGGAGGGATTTTAAGGTCACCTATTATGCAAAATCCACTTTTTCCATGTCTTTTATACATATGTGTTTCCTGTGCGTTAAGAGATTCGGAAAGTTCCAGCAAAAAAGATGATCTCTTTTTTTCCTGATCCATTTATATCAAAATCGGTCTGAAAATGAGCTGATCTGATTTTGGCCACTTAGTGATGTCATCATGTTTCATTGGGTTGTTTAACCATTAGTCAATAAGCAATCAAGGTAACACCCTTCCATCTTATCACCTGAATCTCCTCCTAGAGCACTATTGCATTTATGAGGGATGAAACAGAGGGGTTTATGGGATGCTACAATGCATTATCTGTTTGGTATTTCAAGCCAAACTCTTCAGAGAAATGTTTTGTATATATCTCCTTTTTGAAAAAGACTACAATGCGGGTCTTTTAAGTGTAAGCACCAATGAAATAGTAGATTGTGAAGTTATGTCGGTATATCAAATATAATGTATACTTTGATCCTGAACAATATGAGTAACTAGAGAATGCAATTCCTGAAGAAATTGCTAGTGGGAATGCTTTATGCTGAAAAGCTGACGCTAAACTGCTATGCTGAAATGTAATGTGTAAGAAGAAAGTGAAGAATTTAGATTGAAATGATACATGAACACTGGGGGCTTGAATGTGTGATGAGAGAAGAAAAGAAAGTAAAAAGGCTTGGAAAATCAGCAGAATATTTGAACTGCAAACTTTTGAACTAACTTGATGGTGAATGATCTGTCGCCATTTGATGACATCCCATAATACGCTTAGATGCGTTGATGGCTGCATCGTTACCAAACCTGTGAAGTTTTGGGCCATTTGGAGCATTTTCACTGAAGTTATGAGAAAACCGTGTTTCATGGCGAGCATTGTGTTGCCATGGCAACGACATTTGAAGAAATCTCAAAACTATCCCGTAGATGTCTTCACGGCTGGAATGTTAGCACACATGTAAAGTTTGAGCACTTTTTGAATTATTTATTAGTATATAATTAGTTATAGCGACATCGTCTTTTATGGCGAGGGATGCGTTTAAACGGCATATGAAACCCCATAATTGATGTAGAGCTGTTGAGGGCTGGACCGGTGGATATACAAGGCGGAAGTTTGGGACGATCGGGACCGTGTCATTGACTCGCGACATATGTTTTAATCGAGGATGCGTTTCCATGAAATGGCATATGACTGACACCCTATATATTGACGTGAGCTGGTTGGGGTAGTGTAGTAGGACCCATTAACTTATTATCTGAAGTCTGCTGCTCTGAGCATGGTTCCAATTGGAGTTATGACATCATTCGTGTTCCATGACACAGGTGTTGGTATATTTGAGCTACACGACGTGTCCAGATATCCAAAGGTTTCCATGGGCTGATTCAAATAAATGTGGCCAAAGGGCTCAATTTGTTGAACAACCATATTGTAACAGGGCTTGTTAATTGACCCAAAAAGATATGAACAGTGGGAAGATTGAAAATGGATTATTATATTAGGATTATTTGTAGTCATTGAAGAAGTAGAATCATTTAGAAAGATGTGAACGTTGAAGTTTCTATTTTAGAAAAGCTGACACTGTAGTGGCAGTGGTTCCCAACCGGCTGTGCTGCGGACACCACTGGGGTGCCGCGGAGCACTGTCCAAGTGGCCGCAAAAAAAACGTATTGTTATGTTCCTCATTTTTTCTCACTTAATAAACTTCACTTTCTACCACTTTATTTTTATTACATGTTACAATGAGTTCATAAGCTTAATAAAACATATATTGCTCAGATTTAGAAAATATGAAACAGAATTAAATGCTCCATAATTTATGGTCCAGCCGGTCATTGTTTACAGTGTTGCAGAGCAGTCTTTTTATCCTCGCGCGCAAATATTCAATGGACCGTTACGTAGTGGACAATAAAAAGAAGCACCCCAGCCCTCAACAACACAGGCATGGGATGACAGAACATTTGGAACAGCAGTGCAAAATAAGTCTAAATAAACATTAATATCAGCACAGAGTTTTAAACAGCAGAGCTCAGGGAAATTGGGGGAACTCGCAGAGCTATCTATGGCACCGCTCCCTGAAAACTGAAGCACGGGGAACTACGTCCTGGATATATTTTTGGTCTGCTTGTGGGACAAGAGTATCCATCCCTCTCAGAGGAGGCTATCAAGGTGCTTTTACAGTTTCCAACCCCTACTTGGCAGCTGGGGTTTCGTCACTCGCATATGTCAAAAAACAAGAAACCGGACCCGGCTGTCAGTGGAGCAGGACCTCCGCGTTGCGCTGTCCCACTATCCCCCCACGCGATCAAGAGACTCTGCTCACAAAGCAGGCACAAGTGTCGCACTTAGCACCGTGTAACGGTCTGAGAAAATGTTTATGTTGGAGTTAGATTTGGTGTGCCTTTCTTAAAAGTGGATGATTTATGATTTGGCAAGCGAGTGGATAGCAAAGTGCAGAATGTTTCAGAGTGTGATGTGGTTGATGAAGTCCACATGAACCACAGTTCAAGGTTCAGAGGGCATTGTTTCATCCCCCAATTCTATTAAGGTTATTATTTAAATCTAAGTGATCATAGCCTGCACTCTTTGGAAATCCCAAACTGGAGAGAGAGAGAGCGTATTGATATGTAATTCGTGTTTTTAACACAGTAAGGCCTAGCATTTTCAGCGCAAAACAAAAGAGCCACGTTAGTAGCCTGTTGTATAATATTGAATTCATTCATAGAAATGGAGTGTTGACATTTAGTCTGGTTCCTGTTATTTATTATGTGTAATTACATTATTTGTTCTTATAAAATTTCTATTCAATAAATACACATTGAAAACCAATTTATGGTGTATTTATGGTTTTAGTTTACGCTCTGAAGTGGTTTTAATCACAAAATTGGGTGCCTTGGTCGAGAAATATTTTCAGGGTGCCTTGGTAAAAAAAAGGTTGGGAAACCACTGCTGTAGTGCATCGCTGGTTAAAAGTGATTTATAAGGAGTCATGTTTAAAAGATGTGCAATACTTAAAACCAGCGTTTGCCGACAGGGTGCGTCTGACCGTCATTTTGACACCCTTATTCAGCTCGGGACGCCCTGAACGCGAGCCGAGGGCATCCCAAAAATATTAAATAATTCGAGAGAGATCGAGAGTTCGTTTATCGCTTGAAATGACGAAAAGGAAAAAGGACAAGAATCCCTCTGTGGGAGGGGCACAAAGGAGTCTGGTGGGATTCTTTTCGGAGTATGGAGGATCGTATTCCCCGAACATCGGCGTCGCCTGCTGGACAACACGGAACGTGAGCTGCGGAGTCACCAGACGCCTCGCAGCGGCGAAACTGAGGCTCCGTGGTAAACTGGGGGGGTAACATGAAGAGCCGTTTGGGAGCCGAAACAGCCGGCTTTAAAGAGAGCCGAGCCAAATGATCCGGTCACTAACGTAAAAAACGTATCTATAAGGGATGCTTGCTCATTCAAAATTCAATGGCTTTCCATGGGATTAGTGCGAGAGGAAAGCATTTTCATTGTTCTGAATGAGAGATTAAACCTGTTACATGTGAACGNAGGAAGATACAACCTTGAAGAAAACAGAATCATATAAGTACATCAGGTTTCATAGAGCCAAACATTTCAAGTGCTACTCAACTGGCTTGAGATA